GACACTTCGTTTTGGTTTACGCTGGACTAGCGCCCTACTCTCTTCAGCATTGGCGCCGTTCCCAGCAACAGCAGCAGCCCTGCTCGAGACTTCCTTCCTTTCTATTCCAGGCCAGGTCCTTGCCTCACCGCCGACAGCCCCCATCCCCACCAAGGCAATCCTGTCGTTCGATACTTCCTTGTGCTTTACCCTTCGCTGGGGTTCCACTGGCGGTCTCGCATCGGCGAAGCAAGGCGCGGGAATGTGTCTTCGAGGCGGGATATGTTGAAATTCCTCGGAGGAGGTGTTTGCAAGACTTCCTTGGGCGGGAGATCTGGAAATGGGAATAACGGACCCCGCTATAGAACAAGAGTCCCCCCATGGTGTGGATGGTTATCATGATGGTCGCATGCTTTGTGTGGAAACATCGCGCATGAGGGTCAAATTATTGTTGTTGTTGCTGATGTTGCTGTTCTCATAATTTCTACAGAAAGTGCACTCCTGCGTGGAACATCCTCGCAATTTATTCAGACGCAGCGCCCTCGACACTCAGGAATCAAGCTCTCGCTGTGGACTCCTCACGATTTATTTTGGAATCGCGCGATCGCTCGAGACTTCCTCGCGGTTCATGCAGGGCGCACGCTTCAGCAACCCGCCTGCTCGACCTGGCTGCCTGGGCCCGCCTTCCCGACCCGCTTGTTAGGGTCTACACGCCCGATCTGCCCGTCTGGTTCTGCCACGTGTTTTCTGCTCCTGGCCTCCCTCCTGCTGCTTTCTCTCGTGCTCCATCTTCCTCCCTTCCCCTTGTCCCTCCCCTCCATCTTTCCTTCCTTCCTCTGCATTAGGGGCTGCACCAAATACACGTTGCAGGCAAGAAGGATATACTTTCAGCGGGTACAGTCGAAGACGAAGAGGGCGGATATCGAGGGCTTGGGATATACGTGTTGAGTGGCACGCGAGCAGAGGATATCGAACAGTCTTAAGCTGATTGTTGTTTTTGTTGTTGCTGTTCTCCAAATAGGATTGCCCTATAGGAGTTCTAACTCAAACCCTACTAATTGGTCCGTTGCCCTCCTAATTCCTATGCCCCCTCGAATTCCTATGGCTATGCCTCTGCCTATGCCTCCCCCCTAACTCCTATGCCTACGCCTGCGCCTACGCCTATGCCTATGCCTATGCCTATGCCTATGCCTATGACTATGCCTATGCCAATGCCTATGCACCACCTTTGAGCCCCCCTTATGCCTATGCCAATGCCTATGTGGCAATGCCAATATGCCAAAGCTCACTCCTATGTCTCTCCGTACTTGCATGGCTGCTCGCTTCTTTTCGCTCGCTCCTTTTTGCTTGCCATTTCGTGCTTGGCTTCCTCTCCTCCCGTCCGATCCTCGTCGTCTTCTCCTTCTCTCGCACTTCTCCTGTCCATCTATCTATTTGGAGTCAACGCTGGCTGATATGGTTGAACTCTCATTTCCAAAGAATAATTATGTTTGACCCCCCCTCCGGTAACCATTGAACATTTCCATTCAAGTGCTTCTCCCGGGGCTCGCACCTTTTCTCTTGTTTGAGAAAATGAGGTGTCACCAAACTATGCCCCTGGCCCTCTTATTTACAACAACAGCGGCTGCCGCCTGATACTTTCTCACAGTTGATTTTGCAATCGCGTTTCGCGCGGGATTTCTTCACAATTTATACCAGAATCGCGCTCTCGCGTAGGATTTCCTCGCAATTTATTCCGACGCCGCGCCCTCGACACTCAGGAATCGCGCTCTCGCTGTGGATTTCCCCACGATTTATCTGGGAATCGCGCTGTCGCTCGAGACGTCCTCTCGATTCACGCAGGGCGCACACTTCGGCAACCCGTCTGCTCGACCTGACCGCGTGTGCCCGCCCCCCCTCCTGCTGCTCTCTCTCGCGCTCCATCCTCCTCCCTCCCCCTTGTCCCTTCCTTCCGTCCATCTTCTCCTCCCCTTCCATTAGGGGCTGCGCGAAATTCACGATGCAGGTGGGAAAAACATACTCCCACGTGGGCTGCGATCGAAGACGAAGAGGGCGGGTATCGATGGTGTGGGAAACATCTGCTGAATGGCACGCGAGCAGATCAGAACGAACAGTCTTAAACTGATTGTTGTTGGTGTTGGTGTTGGTGTTGGTGTTGGTGTTGGTGTTGGTGTTGGTGTTGGTGTTGGTGTTGGTGATAATGATGATGATGATGATGATGATGATGATGATGATGATGATGATGATGATGATGATGATGATGATGATGATGATGATGATGATGATGATGATGATGATGATGATCTACCCCCAATCGCCTATTCGTCGCCGATGATGGGCCCGACAGCCCACCCCTCCGAGGCTCGAGGCCTCCACGTCCGAGGTTCGAGGCTGCTTTCGGCCGCAGTCGTCGGTTCTCGCCGGCTCTCCAGCCTTGGGGTGCCCTTCGGCAGCTGCGCCTCGCCGAAAGGATTCCGGGGGTGCCCAGATGGCAGATGACGTCGAAGTGGAGAAGGAAGAGGAGGAGGAAGAGGAGGAGGAGGAGGAGGAGGAGGAGGAGGAGGAGGAGGAGGAGGAGGAGGAGGAGGAGGAGGAGGAGGAGGAAGGAGAGGAGGAGGAAAAGGATGGGGAGGTGTGACCCGCAAACCAGGGAGCAACGCCAGGGTCGACTAGACGTAAGGGTGACCCCTCGCCGGAGTGACCCTCTGGTGCGCGCTCACTGGGGTCCCCCGATCGCCCCGCGCTCGCTGCGATATCAGCGTCTTGCGCGCTTATGTTTGGCCTCCTCGCGCCCCCAAGGAAGCCGCGCACCAAAGGTCACTCTTACCCAGGGTCACTCTTACGTGCAGCCGACAGGGGGGGGATAAGCTCCGGGAGAGGGCGCATCGGCCACCAGGCGCCCATCTCATCGCCGATAAGAGGGCCCGACAGCCCACCCCGTCCAGGAGCGTGCGGAGTCGCTGTCGGGGGCCTGCTGCCGATGTGTCGGCGACGCATCGGCGATTCCAAGCCGATGTTGCCCCCCCCCCCCCCCTGAGCCGGTCCCCGCCAAACCCAGACCCCCGACGCCGTTCTTTTTCGCAGCGTCGACCCCCAGAGGTCTGGACCCCTTTCCCGGGACCGGTCCTTCCTCCTCAGTCGTTTCTTGACGGTCCCGAGGCCCGGCAGGGGCCCCCGGAGGCCGAAACTCGTGGAAAACCTCCCGTCGTGATTTTCTCAGACCACGAGGGGGTCTGGGATCGGCGATTCCAGGTCGAGGCGTCCCCCCCTCTCGCCCGCCGCCGACCCAGAGGCCCGCCCGGAATGGGACCTGGCCGGGACCTGGAGCCCAAAGCGGGCCGGACTTGACTAGGCGTGCGAGTGACCCTTCGCCGGAGTGACCCTTGGTGCGGGCACATCGGGGCCCCCCGCTCGCCGAACGTGATGTGATAGTGGCGTCTCTGCGCCTCTGTTTGGTCACCCTGCGGCCCCCAAAGAGGCCGCGCACCGAAGGTCACTCTCTCCAGGGTCGCTCTTGCGTGTCACCGACGAACAGGCCCTGCGACCCGCCGTCGCGACAGAACATGCAGCTGGCCGCCAGAGCCCCTGGACATTCTCCCCCTCTGCGGCACTGCTCGGGCCGGATCGACCTGTGCGGGACCCAGCGGCCAGGTGGCACGACATCGAGCAAGACATTTTTGGTTCGCTTGTGCGTCGGCGGCTAGGCAGGGGACGTCTGCGCTGGCGGAGTGTTCTGACTAAGCGGGGGCGCCTTTGTGGCGAATTGGCCAGCATGCAGACGAAACTGAGCAAACCAAGCGCCAGCCCCGCGCGGGAACAAAGACGGCGGTGCCTGGCTCTCAAGGATGGCCCCAGCTGGCGAAAGCAACGACACGTCTCGATCAGCAGCTCGTGGCGCTGGAGTGTGCTGGAGGCTTGGGTCGGCGTGGAACCCAAACCCCCTCGCGCTGTGAACAAAATCTTGACGGGAGGTTTTTCGCTGTTTTCGGCCTCTAGGGGCCCCAACCGAGCCTCGGGACCGTCAAACAGCGACAGGATGAAACCGAGGAAGGGGTCCAGACCCCTGGGGGTCGACGTTGCGAACAAGTCACGACGTCGGAGGTCTGGGCATGTGCTCGATTTGCGCCGTCCCACGTCAACGATTCCTTTTCGGTCAGTTTGATGGTTGGATCGAGGGGTCGTTCGAAGGACAATAGACCGACGTGGATCTATTGGCTGATCGACTGCTCCTTCTTCGACCCCGCCAATCGAGCGACCGTTTATTTCGCCCTCGATTGGAGCAGTCGGCTCGAATAATCGTTCAGGTATTCCGCCCTCGATCCCAGATCGATCAATTTTTGGGCCCAGGCTCGATAGGCGATTTCACCCGCTGTTTCGTCTCTCCTTACTTGTACGCGCAAGGGGTGCGGCCTATCGGCGAGCGACCCCTTTCTTGCAGGCCGCACCCAGCCCCGAATCTGCCAGCTTGCACGGGCTCGCGACAGTGATTCGAGCGCTCGGACGTGCACGCGGCGTAGTCCTGCTTGATTCGTTGATGTGTCATCGCTCAGGACGACAGACATCGGGTCGGGAGGACGCGGTTGGGAGACATGCGGGTATCCTTACCCGGAGGCGGCCGAATGTATCGTTCATCGCATCTGGATGCTAATGCTCATGCCCTTCATCCTCCCAACCCCCTGTCTCCCAACACGAGAAAATTGCTCTCCTCAATCCTTCACTCGAGATTCGAGAGCTGCCAGCTCGCCGACTCGCTCAAGTGCCCCCCCCCAGGCCAGGCCCAGGCTCTCTTTGGGCCCGCCAGCCCCTGGTCGTGCGGCCCCCTGTCGCGACAGCGGCCTCCCCCCCCCCCCAGTGGCGCGAGGGTGCTCGCGCCTTGCGCCTCGCGTCCTTCTACGAGCCAGATGGCCGTGCGTCGCGTCTCGTGGGGCGCGATGCGCGGAGTCGGGCGACCTGGGAGGCGCGGGCCCCTCACCTGCCGCGGGGAGGCGGGAGGCGCTCGGTCCCCCGCGCGGGAGGGGGGCAGGCCGTCACGATAGAGCTGACCACGATGCAGGCCCCGCTCCCGCGGCTCCCGCCGCCTTCACCCGTGCTGCTGCTGGCTCTCGTGGTGGCGCTGCTGCTGCTTGGGCCGCGCGCGCTACCGCCCCATCCGCCGCTGCTGCTGCCGCCGCGGCCAGCTCTGTCGGGTCGCCGAGCGCCAGCACGATCCAGACACCCAACACCGCGAGCACGGCGATGGTGAGCCTGTGGGCGAAACGAGCGCGAGTTGCATTTCGTCCGCCCCTTCCGCCCGTGATCCCCCTCCCCCTTCCGCACCTCCTCTGTCTCCTGGCGCTCCGGGCCAGGGGCTTTGGTCTTGTCGCGAGCACGGGGCGGTGCGCGGGGGGCTCTTTCTGCGGCCGTTCTTGGCCGCCCCCTCCTCCTCCGCCCTCCTTCCTCCTCCTCCGCCCTCCTTCGCCCTCCTCCGCCCTCCTCCTCCTCCTCCTCCTCCTCCTCCTCCTCCGCCCTCCTCATCCTCCCTCCTCCTCATCCTCCTCCTCCTCCTCCTCCTCCTCCTCCTCCTCCTTCTCCTCCGCTTCCTCCTCCTCTGCCTCCTCCGCCTCCTCCTCCTCCTCCTCCTCCTCCTCCTCCTCCTCCGCACGCCCTGCCGCCATCCCTGGCGCGGGGTCCGGCGTGCCCCCCGGCCGGGCGCGCGCAGGCGCGGCCGAGGTCCGAGACGGAGGGCTCGCTGCTGGAGGAAGAGCAGGCGGGCCGCGAGCTGAGAGCGTGCCGCGCGCCGCCGGCTCGCGCCGAGGGGGGCATTGATCGGAAACTGGAGCATACAGTGCCGTTTTTAAGACATACTCCGCGTGCGGATCATGTATTAAGAATGCAGGGGATGAGTATATAAAAAGGATGACTTCATACATATTTTTATTCGTATTTTCACCATGTATTTAAATCGTGTGTGTTATATATATACATATATATATATATGTTATTCGTATTATTCGCAGTATTATCATTAATATTGATATTACCATTGTTATTGTTATTATTATTATTATTATTGTTATTATTGTTATTACTATTACTATTTATTATTACTATTATTATTATTATTATTATTATTATTAATATCATTCGTGTTAATAGTAACAGTAGTAGTATTATTCGTGTTTGTATAATTAGTATGTTTTATTAGTACTATTATTATCATTATTATCATTCGTATCATTATTTTATTATCATAATAATAATGATAATAAAAATTATCGCTATATATATATATATATGTATATATTAAAATCACATGTATTAAACACTGCCCTGTATACATTACCAGTGGCGGGCTTTTCTTCAATCCCAGGACTTTCTTGAGGGTCGGGACGACGTCAGGGTTGTGTGGTGTATGTTTTTTTCCACCGTTTTTCTGGGGAAACAGCGAAGAGTGTAGACACCAGGATCCCGTATACACCAGGATCCGCTTTCCTGTGCGAGATTCAGTGTGAGGCCAGACAAAGGCGTCGGTGTATAGAGTTCGGTTCCCTAAGTGAGACATGTCTACCGCCTGGGGAGCTGGTATCCCAGGTCGTCAGGAGGCGGCGGGCAAGGATGCGGGCACAGATCTGGGCACGGAGGTGTCATGTCCTGACGTGTGCTGACGCATGTGTGATACTCCGGGTGAGTGGCCTAAACGGTCTTACGCCATCCTTGCGCGCCTGGCCAGACTGGGGGCGGCGCGCTGGGAGGGCGCGCCGGGAGGGCGCACCGGGAGGACGCGCCGGGAGGGCGCGCGGAGAGGGCGCGCAGGGAGGGCGCGCTGGGAGGGCGCGCGGAGAGGGCGCGCAGGCAGGGCGCACTGGGAGGGCTCGCTGGGAGGGCGCGCGGGGGGGAGGGCGCGCGGGGAGGGCGCGCGGGGAGGGCGCGCGGGGAGGGCTCGCAGGGAGGGCGCGCCGGGGGTGCGCGCCAGGAGTTTGCGCTGGGAGGGCGCACAGGGAGGGCGTGCGGGGAGGGCGCGCCAGGAGGGCGCGTTGGGGGGGCGGACTGCCTCAAGAAGAAACGCCTGTTCGCAGCTCCGCTTCCCCCTCCCCTTGCTCTCCCTGCTGGCCCCTCTCGCTGACTTCTGGGAATGCGGGGTGCTACGCTGTATGTGTACGTCTTCACGTGTGCATGTGTGTGTGTATGTATGCATACAGCGCATGCGTGCCACTGGTTGGCATGGCCGCCCCGGGCGTCCTGTGGGGTCCACGAACCCGCTCAAGACGGCCCAAGAGGCCCCAAATACTGCCCAAGAAGCCCACAAGACAGCCTCAGCGAGGCCCGAGAGGGCCCCAAGACGCCCAAGAGCGCCCCAAGAGGGCCCGAGATGGTTTGAAGATGGCCGAAGAGGGCCCCAAGAGGGCCTTCAATATGCAAACATCGGCCCATTCCTTTCGTACAACGTACAGTTTCAGTATATTCGCTTGCTTCGTCTTCTCAGTGCCCCAGACGCCCACGAGGAGCCCCAAGACAGCCCAAGAGAGACCCAAGAGGGCCCAAAACGGCCCAAAAGGGTCGTCCTGTGGGGTTCACGGAACCCCCAAGACGGCCCCAGAGGCCCCGAAGCCGGCCCAGGAGGCCCCCAAGAAGGCCTCAGGGAGGCCCATGAGGGCCTCGTTCGAAATCATGTTCCCAGAAGCTTCTCCGGGAACATAATTTCCGGGTTCCCAGGGCGCCCAAGAGGGCCCCAGGACGGCCCCAAAGGGTCCTACAAGAACATTCCAAAAGGCTTGGAGGGCCACAGTTCGTTGATTTGCGCGAGAGGTTGTTGGATTTCTTCCGCGCGGAGGAGACGGAGAGAGCGAAGGAGGAGGAGGAGGAGGAGGAGGAGGAGGAGGAGGAGGAGGAGGAGGAGGAGGAGGAGGAGGAGGGAGGAGAGGAGGAGGAGGAGGAGGAGGAAGAGGAAGAGGAGAAGGAGGAGGAGGGGGGGGGAGGAGGAGTGAGGGGAGGAGGGGGGGAAAGAGGAGGAGGCTCGAGGGCGATCGACGATCGGCGACGACGACCAGCGACGGTGTTTGACGACGACGACGACGTGACGACGACGACTTTGCGACCGACGCCGACGCCGATCGACGACGATGACAACAGTCGACGCCGCCGATCGCGATCGACGGCGACGACGACGACGGCCACGCCGACGGCGGCGACGCTGTCTTCGTGCGCAGAGCCACCCTGGGCTCAGTCTTTTGCGCATCGTTCGAAATCCTGTCCCGGGGGGGAAGGAGGAGGAGAAGGAGGCGGAGGAGGAGGAGGATGAGAAGAGGCAGGCGTCCTGTGGGGCCCGCGACGCCCCCCCCCCCCCCAAGACAGCCCAAGAAGCCCCAAAGACGGCCCAAGAGACCCCCAAGACAGCCTCAGCGAGGCCCACGAGGGCCCCCAGACGCCCAAGAGCGCCCCAAGAGGGCCCGAGATGGCTTGAAGATGGCCGAAGAGGGCCCCAAGAGGACCTGCAAGAGGCAAACATCGGCCCATTCCTTCGGTAAAACGTGCATTTTCAGCATCTTCGCTTGCTTTGTCTTCAGTGCCCCTGACCCCCGAGGAGCCCCAAGACGGCCCAAGAGGGACTCAAGATGGCCCATGAGAGCCAAGCCAGCCCAAGAGAGCCCCAAAAGGCACCCAACAGAGCCACAACGGGGGCCAGAAGAGCTGCCTAAAGATTCTCGGGGGGCCTCTTCCGCAGCGTCCGAAATCATGTTCCCGGAAGCTTCTCTGGGAACATGATTTCCGGGTTCCCAGGGCGCCCAAGAGGGCCCTAAGACGGCCTCAGCAAGTTTTAAAAGGACGCCCAAAAAGGCCCGGAGGGACACAGTTTGTTGATTTGCGCGACATGTTGTTGGACTTCTTGCACGCGGAGGAGGAGGAGGGGGAGGAGGCGGTGGATGAGGAGGAGGAGGCGGAGGCGGAGGCGGAGGAGGAGGAGGACGAGGAGG